AGAAGAAGAAGAAGAAGAAGAAGAAGAAGAAGAAGAAGAAGAAGAAGAAGAAGAAGAAGAAGAAGAAGAAGAAGAAGAAGAAGAAGATCTTCTCCCTGTCCATGGAGGAAAGTGTTTTATTTGCCAATATCATGAAATATCTTTCTTCTTAAGCCACATCATAATATAGTATTCTGCACAGAAGTTAAATAAGCAAGGAGATAATATACAGCCTTGTCGTACTCCTTTTCCAATTTTGAACCAATCAGTTGTTCCATATCCAGTTCTGACTGTTGCTTCCTGTCCCACATATAGATTTCTCAGGAGACAGATAAAGTGGTCAGGCACTCCCATTTCTTTAAGAATTTGTCATAGTTTGCTGTGCTCCACACAAAGGCTTTTGCGTAGTCAATGAAGCAGAAGCAGATGTTTTTCTGGAACTCTCTGGCTTTCTCCATAATTCAGCACATATTAGCGTATGTTAGCAATTTAGAAGCATTTAATTGATTGATTAGCTGATGAGTCAGTTTGACCCATATGACTGATTGATTAAGTCTTATTTAATCTGGTGGAATCACTAATTATCAGACCTGAAAATGTTGCATAAGAGTTGGATTTCTGAATGAAACCCAGAGACATCTACTCTGATAGGTTTGTCAAAAGTTCCCACTTGATGCTACCCATAAGAATATAAACATCTGTTAGTTCACCCTTGAGTTGATTCCTTTTCTTCAGACCAGCAGAAAATACTTTGTCATTCTGTACTTTAAAAAAATTGCAAAGTGTAAAGAAAACAGAAATGGCACACCAATGCTTTGTGTTGGGGTAGTAACACCTATAGTACAATAAAGTATTATGTTCAAGCCTCCAATGTAATTAGCCAACAAGTACAGTGGACATTCGACTTAATTAATCCGTATTGGAATGGTGGCTGCAGGTCGAAAAGTCTGTAGGTCGAGGCTCCATTGATCTATAATGCATTGTAAACCGTAACTAGCCGTTTTGGTTCCATTGTGGGTTTTTTTTCCAGTCTGTAGGTCAATTCTCTGGCTGCAAGTCGAACCTAAATTTTGCAGCCAGAGAAGTCTGTAACTTGAAAATTCTGTAAGTGGAACCATCTATAAGTCGAGGGTCCACTGTAGAACTTCCAGTACAAATCAATTAGTAAAGTAGAACATTTAATATTCCTGCAATTTTTATTGCTACAAAGTGACCTTAAAATGATACACTAGCTAAAATCCTGTAGCAGAACTTACTGTGCACAAGGCTAAGGAACAAGAAAAGTCTTTAATTTCCAAAATTTGCTACTAAAGTGATTTTACAGAAAACCATAATTTTCAGATATTAAAAACTTATACTGTGACCCCAAAGGCCTCTCCAGGATAAAAGGGATCCCAAGGAACCTGGGGGGGGGGGCAAAGATCAGAAATGTTTAGTTTACAAAAAAAACCTGCTGTTTTTGGTGACAAGGGAGCCTCAGGATCTTTACAAAGGGGGGGGGGTTGGAAAATTCCAATTTACAAAAAAACTTTTGTGAGTGATGGCATCATTAGTCCTACATAGCATAAGTTCCACTATTGGATTTCAGCCATCCTGTGTCTTTACTAATTAGCCTTTATGAGAATCTAAAGCAGATGTCAAATACACACACTGAGACTTATCCAAAATGTCTTTTCAATGCTTTATTCTTTTCTCTCTTCTTCAGATTGCATTTTTAGAACCAGCTGATAAACAAGAGAAATTGGCACAGAAGTGGGGATTCAAAGCATCTGACATACGAGAGCTGAGTAATTAGTATGCATTTATTTTAACTTTCTCTTGTTATTAGACATTTTTGGTTCATATTTTAACTGTAATGTTGAAGACCATCATATTAACAATTGTATTCTACTTGTTAAATCCTACCGATGTTCATAGTGCTCTGTATGTTCACCAATCCATCCTTACAACAGTCCTGTGGTATTATTGCTGCCCAATTGCAGAGCAGGCTCCGAGGCTGCATCCCCTTATTTAAAAAGACCACAACACACAAACTGTCGGAGAGAAAAAAGGCCACAACTTTATTGGTTACAGCAGCAGTCCCTGCCCCTAGCACTGGGAACTGGATCTACTGTATTTGGAGACCCGACTGTCCCCCAATGCTCACTTCTCTCCTCTTCAGCAGCCACGGAAGGTTCCACCAATGGCAGCAATCCTCTGTGGGCCGCACAAGCATACCCCACTTCATAACTCTCTGCCACCTGCAGGCAGGGCCAAGTCAGCAGACCTCCATTTGGGACAGACCATGGCTCTGCCCCCAGCCCCCCCCATAAAGGGGGACTGATTTGGCATCTCGGAGCCCCAGCCACCTTCACAATATCTGCATCCAAGCCCAGGCTGGGTCCCCTTTTTACCTTCATATTGTGTATTAACTCTTCATTATAGTGGTTGGGCAGAGCTGGAGCTGACAGATAGGATCTCCCGGGGGGAAACCAATGCGCTTGATCCATTCCAGTTCAGGTTCAGGCACAGAGATGGCATTGGTTGCCCTGCAAGATGACCTCTTGAGGGAGGCTGAGAGGGGCAATATGTCCTTGTTGGTCCTCCTTGATCTTTCAGCGACTTTTGATACCATCATCTATGGTGTCCTTCTGGGGAGGCTCTCAAGATTAAGGATTGGGGGGTCAGGCCTTGGCCTGGCTTCAGTCCTACCTTGGGGACTGTCCTCTGAGAGTTCAGCTTGGGGAGATGCTGTCTGCTCCGTGGACTCTCAGTTGTGGAGCCCTGCAGAGGTTAATCATCTCCCCAATGCTATTTAATATCTATATAAGGCCGCTGAGGGAGGTACTCAGGAGTTCTGGAGCTTTGTTTCACCAATATGCGGATGACACGCAGCTCTATCTCTCCTTCCACCCTTCTGCAATGGATGATGTCACGTCCCTTGAGCGCTGCCCGGATGAGGTGCTGGGGTGGAAGAGGAAAAACAGACTGAGGTTGAATCCAGACAAGATGGAAATCCTGCTGGTGGAGGCCCCTAGTATCTGTGGTCTGGGTGCCTCCCTGTCCTTTGGGGGGGGTGTCACTCTTTCCACAAAGGATAAGGTGTGTAGCTTGGGTGTATTTCTGGACCCAGCACTATCAATGGCATCACAGGTAGTGTCTGTGGTCCGATCTGCTTATTACCACCTAAAACAGATCACCCAGCTCTGCCCCTACCTTGACACCAGGTCTCTCACCATGCTGGTTCATGTGCTGGTAGTCTCAAGATTAGACTACTGCAGTGCCCTCTATGTGGGGCTGCCTTTGGGACTGGAACAGAGATTGCAACAGGTCCAGAATGAAGCAGCCAGATTGCTGAGTGGAGTTAGAAAATACCAACACATTTCCCCCACCCTGGCCACCTTACACTGGTTACCCATTTGCTTCCATCTCAGTTTCAAGGTTATGGTATTAACCCACAAGGCCCTAAATGGTTTGAGACCTCGATATCTGGCTGAGTGCCTCCTTCCAGTTAGGTCTGCCCATCCAATAAGATTGTTACAGGCAGGGCACCTGAGAGTTTTGACCCTGAGAGAAGCCCGGAAAACAACTACCAGAAATCGGGCCTCCTCGGTGGTTGCCCCACAATTGTGGAACATCCTCCCACTTGAAGTTCGTCTGGCTCCCTTACTAGGCACCTTAAAAAATTATTGCGGACCTGGATGTTCAGACAGGTTTTCTCAGAGTAAACAGCTACCAATGTGACAGTATCTCCAATAATGCACTAATTTATATGTTGCCATATTTTATGCTATTAATTATATTAATTGTATGTATTGTTTTTTTTTACTTTGTCCACTTTATTTATGATATTTTAATTTGCACTTTAACTCTGATGTTGTATTCTTTTGTTATTTTATTGTTTTGTTATTGTTGTAAACCATCCAAAGTGGCCCTGGCTATCAGATGGGCGGTGTATTAATCAGATAGATAGATAGATAGATAGATAGATAGATAGATAGATAGATAGATAGATAGATAGATAGATAGATAGATAGATAGATAGATAGATAGATAGATAGATAGATAGATAGATAGATAATGTAAGATTGCACTATGAATTCATGTTTAAGGTGATATCTGAACTCGAGCTCACAGTTCTGAGCCCAAGGCCATCATGATGATGGTGCTGCTGCACCATGAAATAGTGGAGTGAGGTGCTTACACCCCATTTGACCAATGGGCTGGTGATGTCACTAACCAGTTGTCTTGCACCTGGACAGGATGTCAATTCATGCAGAAGCATGGGGCAATTACATGCCAAGAAAGTCTAGGTTTTTGCAACTGTATGTTTCTTCTGATCAATTAATATGGAAACAGATCTATTTGTTGTACTTTAATTAAAAGTATAGGAGATGTAGCTTTGATTGCATCAATAATTCTTTATTTTTGACATTATGATTTCTCTTCTGAACAGAGTTTACTTATATGAAAGACAGCAACCAGATTCCAGAGACAGGCATACACGGAACAGCCCAAATGCAGGCTCATCACTTTAGTGGTTACTATAGTGGTAAACCTGCATTTGGGCTGCTTCATGTCAGGTGGAAGCCTACATCGCTTTTAATATCTGCACATACCACGTTGAATGGCTTAGGTGTTGCACTCCTAACATATACCTTGTTGAAACATACAAACAGACTGGAATGCCAGAACAACGTATAACTAGTTCAGTCATATACAGTGGGGTCTTGACTTGAGAACTTAATCCGTATTGGAAGGCGGTTCTCAAGTCAAAAAGTCTGTAAGTCAAGTCTCCATTGACCTACAGTGCATTGAAAACCGATTAATCCCGTAACAGGCTGTTTTTGTTCCATTTTGGTTTTTTTCTGGTCTGTAAGTCAAATCTCAGTCTGCAAGTCAAACCTAAATTTTGCGGCCAGAGAAGTCTGTAACTCAAAAAGTCTGTAAGTCAAGCCGTCTGTAAGTCAAGGGTCCACTGTATTGGATCCACTGGTTCTGTGAACATAGCTTTCTGCTCTTGATAAGCCCTTCACCAGTGTATGCCTCACAGTGTCATTAGTGTACATGGGTATCTAGAGATTCACCATCATAAAAATACTTCAGCTTTCTGGTATGTCTTGATGGTGATGTCTCTCTTACAAGAAATGTAACTCAGTGAATTTCCTTCACAAAAAAGGGACTGCAGCTGTAGGTTGTAGGCCTTGCTATCAAAATAAAATGTTTTTGGTGTGTGCTGAGGATCAAATGTTCTTTCAACACTGCAAAAACATTGTAATTCAATTTTATTGGTTTGTATCTAAAAGGCGTTGCTAGAACAGGTTGGCTGCAACCTCCAGCTGAGTCAGTAAGTGTTGGTTTTCTTGCATAGCAGGAAATTGGTGGAGCTGCTTGGTGTCTTTTTTTCTCCTCTATTTCTTTGTGCACTACAAAAGAGGGTAGGTTTCAGTGTGTGAGAGAAATCTGTGTGTATTTCACATTGCTGAAACCTAGTAACGCATTCACACACGGGGGACCCTAAGCTGATTAGTTACTGTAAATGAAATAATGAATATTGACACAGTCATGTTTGTAGCTAGTGCAGGAATGTTTCCTTCAAATGTTATGATTATCAAAATTTACTAATATGAATATTCACAGAAAGCAAATCTTAGTAAATCCCTTAATAAAAGAGAGACTTGGTTTATTGTTGGGCTGCTGCAGAATTAATACAGTCATGAAAAAGGCTTGAATAGTTGCCAGGATAATCATGAATCATAGATTATAACTGACTAAATGCTGAGAAGAATATAGGAAGTGTGGGACAGCAGCATATGTAGGTAGGCATCCCCCAGAGAGCTTAATCAGGGTTATGTAAGCCCTAGAAACAAGTAACTTCAAGCAAATGATGCATTAAATTTATCCAGGGAAATGTTGAAAATTATGAGTATAACCTCACAAGGAGCTCTATGAATTCTCTCTTCCATTCCGAAGAGCACTATGGGTGACTGAGCTCCAGGCACACCTGGGAGCTGCAATAGCTGTGATAGAGATACTTGAGTTCAACTCAGGCTGGAAATAAAGTACTCTTATTTGAATGTTCGTCACCTACATCTATGATGTTTCACCTCTGATTCTTTACCTACTCATTGGTGATGCAGATATATCCTGAATCTGATGGTTGTTGTAGGTTTTCCAGGCTTGTTGGCCATGTTCTGGAGGTTCTTCTTCCTAACATTTCTCCAGTCTCTGTGGCCAGCATCTTCAGAGGACAGGACTTAGAAGTCTTTCTGTGTTCTGGTGTAGTGTGTGGGATAGTTGAGTATTTGTAGCTGTGGGATCAGCTCTTTGTCCTTTTCAGGGTATTGGGTTATAATGGTGTTTTGTTGTTGTTGTTGTTATGGGTGTATTGGTGTGATAAGGGGGGAGATGATCTGTCACTGTGATTGATGGGTGTCATTAGCTAGTCTTTTGTGTGCAGTGATCACAGGTCCTTGTGGCTGAGAAGAGTTAGTTGACCTTTTTGCAGGCTGTATTTTTCAGTGCTGGGAGCAAGGCTTTGTTGAGTTTTAGACTTTCTTCTTTTTTGTTGAAACTGTGCTGGTGTTTGTGGATTTCAATGGCTTCCCTGCGTAGTAATCCCCCGAGGGGATTCAGGCCCACCACAAAAATACAACAAATGTTGCAGTCAGCAAAGGATAAAAGGGATCCCCTCACCACTGCAGGAGTACACTGGATACCTTGCAGTTGGGGCCAGGTATATATTGGGACCACAAAACACAGCATCCACACCAGAATCAAAGAACATGAAAGACGCTGCAGACTACAACAACCAGAAAAATCAGCAGCAGCTGGACATGCCTTGAAACAAGCTGGACATGAAATCCAGTTTCAAAACACAGACGTACTGGACAACACCAGCACTCATTATGTTAGACTACACAGAGAAGCCATTGAAATCCACAAACACCAGCACAGTTTCAACTAAAAAGAAGAAAGCCTGGCTCCCAGCACTGAAAAATACAGCCTGCAAAAAGGTCAATGAACTCTACTGAGCCACAAGGACCAGTGATCACTGCACACAAAAGACTAGCTAATGACACCCATCAATGACAGTGACAGATCATCTCTTCCCCTTATCACAACAATACACCCACAACAACAACAACAAAAATACACCATAATCACCTAATTTCTTGAAAAGGACAAAGAGCTGGTCCCACAGCTACGCGAAACGCTTACCGATCATCGCAAAGCGATGTTTTTCCATTAAAAATATCATTATGCAATCGCAAAAGTTCAATCGCTATGTGGATTCATCGTTAAATGAATCACTCATTATGCGGGACGCCACTGTACTTTATATATACACACAACAACATCACACTGGTATTTTACATACAGAGGAACATTGTGGTGCCTCTGGTAGACAGAGGTAGACAGAGGTAGCCTGAACACTATTAGCAATGCTCTGATAACTTCCAGATTAGACAACTGCAGTACATTATATGGGGAGCTGCCTTTGAAGACTACTTAGAAGACTTCCTGCATCCAAAAACAACAGTTGATTGGGAGCAGTTAGATGGAACACATCACACCAGTTCTTAAGCAGATGAAGTGGCTACAAATTAAATCTAATGTTAATCCTACCTAGGATCCACTGAAATGGCTGGGAATTCTTAGTCACAATTAAATTAAGTCACATTTGATTTCAGATGCTAATCTAGATACAGCTTGCATGGCATTTAGCCCTGTATGTTTTCAAGCATAATTCAAGGTACAATTTTCAACCTTCAGAGTAGGCATGTGCTTTGGGTTCGTAATTTATTTGGATTCTGCAGTGAGTTTTAATGTTTTATTATGCTCTCTATCTGACTATTGTTTCACAAGCATACCATTAAAATGCAGGACTGGTAGTATGCATTTAAAAGCTGATCTTTGTTTTTCTTCTTACTTTTCTTCCCCAGTGAATTCTTCATGCCAGGTTTGGTTGACGCACATATCCATGCTCCACAGTACTCTTCTGCAGGAACACGACTAGACCTGCCTCTTTTGCAGTGGTTGAAGACATATACTTACCCAACAGAGAACAAATTCAAAGATATTGACTTTGCTGAAGAAGTGTACACTAGAGCTGTGGTAAGTAAATTTCTCCCTACTGTTATGGTAGTTCGAATTTTTGCAAGCAATATTATTTGGGAGATGCTTGCTGAGTTTAATGAATCCCATTTAATGATTCTCTAACCCTCTTGAGAGCTCCTGATGGACATTCCAAGAAAAATATTTGAAGAACCTTTATTTTTTCCAGTTGTTGCAATTCAGTTGAGTGATGAACAATTTGTGGATAAAATATTACCAGTTGAATTATGTAATGATTCAAGTAGAACTTGGAAAAATTAATTTTAAGAAGAACGAAAAGAATCACGTGCTGAAGCCATCCATAATGCAGCAGCAATAAAATGGTACTTCAACTGCTGATAATACAGGGAATCAGAGCTAAAACTATCTTTCCAAGATCTGCTCTAAACTCACTGTTTAAGGAAGGCGTCCAACATGCTACTGAGGAAGAGTGGAGGACAAGTACAAGTAGCTCCAGAGCTAATGAAGTGGTTGGGCCAAAGCCGAAAGGACGCTCAGCTGTGGACGTGCCTGGAAGTGAAAGGAAAGTCCAATGCTGTAAAGAAAAATACTGCATAGGAACCTGGAATGTAAGATCTATGAACCTTGGGAAGCTGGAGGTGGTCAAACAGGAGGTGGCAAGAATAAACATTGACATCCTGGGCATCAGTGAACTAAAATGGACAGGAATGGGCGAATTCAGCTCAGATGATTATCATATCTACTACTGTGGGCAAGAATCCCATAGAAGGAATGGAGTAGCCCTCATAGTCAACAAAAGAGTGGGAAAAGCTGTAATGGGATACAATCTCAAAAATGATAGAATGATGTCAATACGAATCCAAGGCAGACCATTCAACATCACAATAATCCAAGTTTATGCACCAACCAGCATTGCTGAGGAGACTGAAATTGAACAATTCTATGAAGATTTACAACACCTTCTAGAACTGACACCAAAGAAAGATGTTCTTCTCATTCTAGGGGACTGGAATGCTAAAGTAGGGAGCCAAGAGATAAAAGGAACAACAGGAAAGTTTGACCTTGGAGTTCAGAACGAAGCAGGACAAAGGCTAATAGAGTTTTGTCAAGAGAATAAGCTGGTCATCACAAACACTCTTTTCCAACAACACAAGAGGCGACTCTATACATGGAAATCACCAGTTGGGCAATATCGAAATCAGATTGATTATATTCTCTGCAGCCAAAGATGGAGAAGCTCTATACAGTCAGCAAAAACAAGACCTAGGATGAGATGGCTGGACAGTGTCTGCGAAGCAACCAACATGAACCTGACACAACTCCGGGAGGCAGTAGAAGACAGGAGGGCCTGGCGTGCTCTGGTCCATGGGGTCACGAAGAGTCGGACACGACTAAACGACTAAACACACACACAAGCTCAAATTGTTAAAGTCAATAGCCAGATTAAAATGAAGCATAAGGCACTAGAGCTGAGATCCTAAATACACATACCTGGGAGCAAGTCTGCTGATCTCAATAAGATTACAGTGGTGCCTCGCTTGACGATGTTAATTCGTTCCAGCGAAATCGCTGTAGAGTGAAAACGTCATCAAACGAAATAAAAAATCCCATTGAAACACATTGCAAACCGTTGAGTGCATTCCAGTGGGCTGAATACCTGCTTGTCCAGCGAAGATCCTCCATACGGTGGTCATTTTCTGGTGCCTTTTAAGCGAAAAATCAGTCCTAAAAATAGCAGGGGCCATTTTCTTCAGCCGGCGGCCATTTTGAAACCCAACGATTAGCTGTTTGCTGATCGTCGTAAAGCGAAAATCAGTTCCCGAAGTAGGGAACTGATCATCGTGAAACAAAAAAAAAACTATTTAAACCATCGTTTTGCGATCGCAAAAGCAATCACAAAAACTTCAACGTTAAGTGGATTTGTCATAGAGTGGGGTAATAGTCCAGCAGGGCACGACTGTAATTACTGAGTAAAATTGTACAGTGAAAATACTGCTGTTAGGTACCAGTATTTTTATAAGTTAGTTCTGAGGCATATGAATGGGTAACAACTATGACCAAGTTGTTATACATTTACTAGAGAAGAAATAGGAAAGTAAAGTTAAGCAAACCTGCTGTTTATCAGACAGTATTTGGCAGAGTGTTTCATGAAATGTCAGGCTTTGATGTAACATGCCCCACACCACTGGTTCATCTCATTCAGTAACTATCTATATAAAAGTGTCTCCAGTATTTTTTATATATTTTTTATTTTGAGAGTTCCAATTTCACACACACGCACACACATACACACAACCCCCCCAAAAAACAGGATTTTCCAAGCAAATTTTTTTAAAAAATATTTGAAAACAATTTGAAAAAAGTCAAAAAGAAGTCAGGAAAGCAAAATTATAAAAGCCTGTTATGGAATTCGAGAAACCCACTATGGTATAGTGGATAGAGTGACAGACTAAGGCTCATGATACCATCTCAGTGGGGGATAGGAAGGCAACATTTGGCTCCTATGGCTGTGGCTCTTCCTAGTACAGACTAAGGCTCATGATACCATCTCAGTGGGGGATAGGAAGGCAACATTTGGCTCCTATGGCTGTGGCCTGACTCTTCCTAGTTCCATAACTCCACTTCTCTCTGTAGTTCTAAAGATCAGCCTTTTATATTCCTTAAAAGGGGCAGGTATGTGTCAAAACAAGCACTTGAGCAATGCACTAGTGGTGTGTTTTAAAATACCAAACAAATGTAAAGAGTAATTTTATTCTTTTTTTCCTGATTCTTGCTTTTGGTCACAGGGTTTTGCAATCATTAAGTGTTTTTAGAGTACAAAAACATGGTTATATGTTCAGGCCTTCCCTCCTGTCAATATTTAACTCTCTCTCTCTTCTTTTCCCCTTACTTTATTGTTCTATTTTTGTATGTGTTTTAATTGACTGTAATATTCGTATGTTTTATGACAAATACTTTTATTGGAAGCCGCCCATAGTGGTCAACCAGACCAGATGAGTGGGATACAAATCAAATCAAATCAAATCAAATCAAATCAAATCAAATCAAATCAATCAATCAATCAATCAATCAATCAATCAATCAATCAATCAATCAATCAATCAATCAATCAATCAATCAATCAATCAATCAATCAATCAAAACCTGCTTAACCTATCATGACACTTGACCAAAAGACTGCTGTCTACCACTGTTCATTCTGTCACTATTTCTGCAGATAACAAAACCTTACATTTTTTTTACAGCGGCGAACACTCAAGAATGGCACAACTACAGCCTGCTACTTTGCAACAATTCACACAGATGCCTCTTTGCTTCTTGCTGATATTATAGGTAAATGTAAGAAGCACTTTTGCCTGGATAGTTCAGTGAGTTGTAGCTAGAGGTTGAGAGTTTGATTGCCCACTGTGGCTCCTGGAAGAAGAGTCACTTTGTGTGGCCTTAGACAAGTTGCACAGTTCCAGAATGCCAGCAGAAGAAGAGATTGGCAAATCATGTCTGAGTACGTTATAGACAGAAAACCCTGGAACAAGTCACTAGAAGTCAGAATAGTCTTGACAGCTTATTGTTTTTTTTTGTTTGTCTTCTAGAAAACTTCTGAGAAGTCGTATTGTTAGCTGAAACCATTTCAGCTATAAGGTCCCCTTCCATAGAATGATTTATGAAGATATATATGTTTTGTGTCTATGACTCTGACCAATGTAGTACAGATTGGAAGATAATTTAAAAAGTCCTATTCTGTGCTTTGTACTAGCATCCTACAGATGAACTCTGCCCTTGAAGGGAATAAAAAGTATACAAGAGCTTTATGTATGATTCAGGCTGCTCCAAAGAACTGTATTAGAACGACAGATTCTCATCCCCAACCCAATGTTCCTCATAATCTCTTTAATTGAATTTCCACATGGTTAATAGCATAAAAACAATGTTTCTGGACCAACTAAGCAGAACTGAACTCTGTAATCTTTCTCTAGCAATGGCTGATCAGTTAGATTTCTCCAGGAATCTTGTAAGCAAGAGGGAAGCAGGAGGCAGCCGTTTCATACTGTCCACCCTTAGCAGATTGAACTGTCCACATACTGTAGATATTTTGGCTAATAGCCATTGACAGTGTTGTCCTCCATGAATTTTATCTAATCCTTGCTTAAAATCTGTCTAAGCACATGACCTTCACTGGGCTTGGAAGAGTTGCTTTCCTTGGTTGACAGCTAATCTCAGAATCCCCCAGCCAAAAGGATGCTTCTGAGAATTGCAGTCCAAGAAATGCATTTTTCCAAGATCTGACTAGCAACTATTACTATATTTTTGCCTGATTCTACATGACTGTAACACTATAGAGTCAAAGGGAGAGTTGTGTCAATGTTGTTAAATGCACATAAATGGTATGGACAACTGGCCATACATCTAATGGATCATATGGATCATGACCATACAGAGGTGGTATTCCTCATTATATAGCTTGTATCCCTAGTGGATATCTGTACTGTAAGGATGAATTCATGCTTAAAAGGACAGAATTATTTGTCTGTTTCCAGAAGAAAGGCTTGTTAACAGGTAGGCAGGCAGGCAGGCAGACAGATTATTTATATATTATTTGTTTGTTTGTTTGTTTAGAATATTTTAATCCCACCTTTCTCCTTAAAAGGACCCAAGACAGCTATATATAGAAAACTACATTCTTTTGAATTTTGTTCTCTTTTTTTCCTCTGCAGATAAATTTGGCCAGAGAGCCTTTGTGGGTAAGGTTTGTATGGATCAGAACACGTGTTTTCCAGACTATAAGGAGACCACTGAAGAATCTGTCAAGGAAACCGAAAGGTAAAAAATGGTGTTCGTTCTTGTACAAATGAGCAGGGTTGTTTTTTTCCCTTCAAAGAAATGAATGAGATGAACCACACAACTACAATGGTTGGCCTTTCCATTCACTGGAAACTCTGTATGGCACTGGCCTATCTTTAGGATATTGGTAGGATTGTGATGTTACAATTAAGGCTTCATGAAAGACAAGGACTGTTTTTGTCCTAACATAAGCACATAATTTGATCATCCTATTATAGGTGTTTTTATGACCATTTAAAAGTGTTTCATTTTGGATTGTCCCTTCACAGGGTTTACAAGGTAAGATAGGTAGTCAGAAGTGGCTGACCATTAACTTCTGCTGCAGAGTACTAACAAAATTGAGGGTCACTGCTGTTGTCTGTGAAAGATCCTCTGCCAGCATCACCTTCAGTTATCACTGGTGCCTAGGTGCTGCCCTCCAGGAGTTTCTCCACCCCCATCAGCATTGAATTACAGTATTCATTATCTTCTGCTGATGTGACCCTTAATCCTGAAGGGTGTGGTTGCGTTTTAGGCTGGTGTCTCAGGTTTTACTCTGACCCTGGCAGAAGTCTGTACTTGTAATAAAGTCTGTCCTCCTGATGGTGTTGCTGTCAGCTTCCATGATGCACTCAAATTCCCTCACCATGTTAAGGAATGTATTCAGGTCAGAAGGCATTGAGCCAGCTAATGGGGAAGAGCAAATGACAGCTACAGACAACTAATGGCACAACTGGATTAAAATTAAAGATGTTTATTGGCCAATGTGCACAGAAGTGAAAAGAAAGTGGAACATGAAATGTGAGAATTATTGTTGGAGTGTTTTTTTTTTTTGTTTTGTTTTGTTTTGTGGCAGAGTTTGGTGTGATGAAATTGGGCAAGCTGAACTACAGTCTCCCTTAGTAGACCACTCCTTATTTGTTAGTTTAACTCAACTGGCACTTATTTGTTTTAAAACATTCACTCAGAGACTCTGGTAAATTAGAAAGAATAACATGTTTCCGTTTCCAGATAGCTCTTCTTATACAAAAACAAACTTTTTTTTTGAAATGCTAACCTTTTACATTATTACTGAGCTTAACTATATAATTTATTTCATTGTTAATCAACTGGTTACATTCCTGACAAAACACTTCACTCTAACTGTTCACTTCTGACTCCATCACCCACACAATTGAACAGTAACTGCAAACTGACAAACTCTAAATGAAAGGAACTTTGACTGGGAAAAAGATAGGGAAAAAAACTCTGAGCTAGAGAGAGAGACAATTGACTGCTACTGACTTGACCACCAGCAACCCCAATTCATAAAAGTCCCTCCCAGTCAAACCTCTTAAAGGCATCATAAGGGTGCAATATATCCAACAAATATGAATCAAGCTATGAACTAAGCTAAATTAGAAACCACAAAAGAGAAGAGGGATGTTTAAACATTGCAGTGCATAGTGCAAGAGAACAAAAGTGGATAGGAATGGGAGATTTTAAGTCAGACAGTTACAAAGTGTTTTACCCTGGCAAAATGACAAAATCAGAAGAAACAGTGTGGCTCTAATACTGAGAAAAGATGTAGTACAGGCAGTAAGGGGCTATAATAATGACACCTGATTGAATAGCATTCTTGGAAAATCTGTCAACATAACCACAATTCAAGTCTATTCTACCATTACAAATGCTGAAAAGGAAGAAATTGAAAGCTTTTATGCAAGAAAATTGATCGCATACCGAAGAAGGCTATGTTGACAATCATAGGTGACTGAAATACAGAAGTAAAAGACAATGCAACTCCAAACATTGTTGGGCAATTTGGTTTAGGAGGTCAGAAACAAAGCAGAAGAATGACTGAAAGAATTGTGTGAAACTAACCATGTGTTAATGCAAATACATACTTCCAGTAATTGAACAGACAACTATAAACATGGATAACACTAAATACCCAATATAAAAATCAAAAAGATTACATGATTGGAAATAGTAGATGAAGAAGCTGTATTCTCTCTGACAAAACAAGACCAGACCAGATTCTAATACTGACCACAAACCTTGATCCATTCCAGTCCAGATTCAGGTCATGGCAGGGTACAGAGATTACACTGGTCAAACTGCGGGATTACCTTTTAAGATTGGGGTCGGGGGCCTAGCACTGTGCTGGTTTTGATCCTTCCTCAAGAACTGTGTCCAGGGAGTGCAGCTTGGGAACGATGTGTCGGCCCCCTGCACCCTCACTTGTGGGGTCCCGCAGAGTCATCAGTACCTCCCAATGCTGTTTAACATCTATGTGAAACCACTGGGGGAGGTCATCAGCAGATTTGGGGTAAGGTGTCACCAGTTTGCTGATGACACACAACCCTATCTCTCCTTTACCACCTCTACAGTGGATGCTGTACAGATGCTCGAGCATTGCCTGCCTTTGGTACTGGAATGGGCCTGGGCAAATAGGCTCAAATTGAAATCAGATAAGAAGGAGGTTGTGCTCCTGGGAGCGCCTGTCAAAAGATTGCAGGGAATTTTCCCTAGACTGGATGGGATGGTGTTGTCCTCTCATTTAGGGACCAAGTTCAGAATTTGGGCATTCTTCTGAACCCGGCTCTTTCCTGGGATTCCCAGGTTGCAGCTGTGTCCAGATTGGCCTTTAACTAGTTTAGGCTGCTTGCCCAACTCCACCCCTACCTAGACGATGACTCCCTCAGGACATTAGTGTAGGTGTTGGTTATTCCCTGGATTGATTACTGCAATGTTTTCTATGTGGGGCTTCCCTTGAAGTTGACCTGGATACTTCAGCAAGCCCAGAATGCAGCAATCGGACTAGTGGTTGGTGCGAGCAGATTTGATCGTATTACCCCAGTTGTGGCTTGCCTTCACTGGTTACCTGTTGAGTCCTGGATCAGGTTCAAGGTTCTGACTCTCACATATAAAGCTCTCCACAGTTCGGGCCCATGTTACCCATGTTACTTGTCAAAGCATCTCTCACCAGTGCCAACTGCCTGACCCACCAGATTATCACATATGAGGCTCCTCCAGGTAGCCACCCCAAGGAAGGCCCATAAATCTTCTATGAGAGGTAGGGCCTTCTTCATGGTGGTTTAATCTTTGTGGAACCAGCTCCTGGAGGAGCTTTGCCTGGCACCCTCCCTGTTGACATTCAAGTGGCAATGGAAGACATGGCTCTTCAGGGAGGCTTTCCACTCTGGCCCTACTTCAGTTGAGGTGGTCTTATATCTCTATCCAGTTCCTGTTATTTTTATTTTCCTGTTTTATCTTTCTCTTAGTTTCATCATTGCTCTGGTGCCTTCTGCCTTTATGTGGTTAGATTCTTACATGGTTGTTATTACACTATTTTACTATGAGCTTGTATTTTAATGTGAACCACCCAGAGTAGTGCTGCAGCACTAATAGGAGCACAATATAAATTAAAGTTAGAAATACTTTAACAAATCCTATCTTGATGTTGGGGCACTCACCCCTCTGGTCCATGCACTCGTAGTCTTGACATTAGACTACTGTAATGCGCTCTACATGGGGCTACCCTTGAGACTGATGCACAAACTACAAATGGTCTAGAATACGGCTGCCAGACTATTAACTGGGGAGAAAAAAATCACATTTCCCCCACTCTGGCGGCCTTACATAGGTTGCCCATTCGTTTCCGCATTGACTTCAACGTATTAATGCTTACATATAAAGTCCTAAACGGTTTAGGACCTCGATACCTGACAGAGCACCTGCTCCCACCTAGCTCTACTCATGTCACTCAATTGAGCCAGGCCAGGTGGCTGAGGGGCTTGACCCTGAGAGTGGCCCCTCACCTCTGGAACATCTTGCCCCCTGAGATTCACCTGGCACCATCACTGGGAGTTTATAAGGACAAGCTGAAGACTTGGTTCTTCAGCCAGGCCTTTCCCCCCACCTTCCATTACTTAGTTCCCTGTGTTTTCCCATCTTGGACTTTGCTTACTTCTCTTTTTGTTTGGATATTGTCTGTTTTAATTCTTGTTTTATATTGCTCAGACTGTAAGCCACCCAGAGTAGATTCGTTTGAATCTAGATGGGTGGGGTAAAAGCTGAATAAATGAATAAAATATATAAACGTAATAAATAAATAGTTAACATGAAAAATTAAATTAAAACTGAAAAAGAACACTAAAAGGATCCTGGTGTCAAATATAATGTAAATAACATTTTGAATGAATTTATAGTCTATATAAAGAACAGATTCGCGTTACAAATTTGTCTGACAGTAAACCAGAAAAACTGGACTGAAATCAGTAATATTATTAGGAAAGAATGCAAAAACAATATTCTTTTAATAAAAGAAAAGAAAAGCTTAGATAAATGATGAGAAAAACACTTAAAATTGTTATATGTAGGCAAGAAGCAAAAGTAAATGGTAACAGATGTAGGGTCAGAATTCCAAATGCAACTTTTCAGCAACTATCACATAGAGACAAAGAAAACTATTACAATAATCAGTGCAACAGATTATTCAATAGGAGAGAACAACCAAAGAGTAAAAATACAAGCTTTCTTCTATAAGATCGAAAAACTGAAAAGGACATTTAAACCTATGTCAGGGGTACTGAAAGATCAATGGGGATCCAGGCCAGAATGAAAAGAAGGTGGAAACAATATACTGAAGAATTATACAGAAGAGATGCAAGAATATTAGATTCTTTTGAAGAAGAACCATATGATGAGGAAACTTCAATATTTAGGAAGTGAAGTGAAAGTTTCTCTCAAAGTGCTGGGAGGAAATAAATCATCACTACTAGATGGGATAGTGATAGAATTATTTCAAGTTACAGACTGAATTTGTCAAAATCCTAGCAAGAATATGTCAACAAATATGAAAAGCAAAACAATGGCCTTTCCTAAACATTCAATATGTATTCCACTCCCCAGGAAAGGAGATACCAAGGAGTGCAGTAACTATAGGACCATTGCATTGCTTTCCAATGCAAGCAAAGTGATCCTGAAGGTGTTACAACAAAGACCTTTATCCCATA